CCTCCTCAGAGCAGAGGTCCCAGTGCAGCCTCCTCCTCCTCAGAGCAGAGGCCCCAGTGCAGCCTCCTCAGAGCAGAGGTCCCAGTGCAGCCTCCTCCTCCTCAGAGCAGAGGTCCCAGTGCAGCCTCCTTGTCAGGGCAGAGGTCCCCAGGCAGCCCCACCTCCCTCCGTACAGACCGTCCTGCTGAGTCCTGAGTCAAGATGACAGGACACGAGTTCCCCTTGCAGGAGTCTGAAGCTGTCCCCGCAGGCAGACGGCCAATCTCCCTGCACTTGTGGGGACTGGTGCAGCTGGTTCTTCCAACTCAGGGACTCTCRAATTCATGATTCACGCAGAGCTTGAAATGCCCACAGGACGGTCCTGACGGTGCCCCTGTGTGTCTGTGTGTGCGCCTGTGTGTGTGCATATGTGTGCTGTGGGCGTCGCGGTCCCGCGTGCCCCTGCTCCTGGGGTTGCTGTTGATGTGTGAGAGGAGACGTTCAAAGACACTGAGACTTGACCACCCAACGCAGGCTCTGCTGTCAGCTCTAGCCGGGTGTTTGCACTGACGTGCTACCGTGCCCAGTTAGTGGCCCAGCGCTGCAGATGTGCACTCCTGCGGCTTGGAGGCCGCCCTTGCTGAGATGTGGTTCTGTGCTGACCGCCTCCCTCYGCGTTGGAACCGCTGAAGTCTTTCCAGGAGTCACCGAGCAAAGCCTTCTTCGTCCTGTACTGYGGGACATGTTCACCTGAGCCCTCTGTGTCCCTTTTCGGGGCCCACCCCTAGTGACCAGCGACTCTCGTGTTCGTGCTGCGGCGGCGTGAAGGGCGGACTCTGAAGCAGTGTGTCCAGCCACTACGCAGCTGCCCCTGCTGTTCTGCCCTAGCCCGGCAGCGGCTGTGATGGCGGGAACCGAGGACAGCTTTCAGCAACCTTCCCTCTTCCTCCAGAGAAGATGGATCACCCACAGGACAGGAGCTGTCCCGGCCCCTCCTGGAAGTGCACCCGGACCCCGGCAGCATTTCTGAGAAGACCGTTTACCTGGGATTCATTTCTGTGCTGTTTCAAGCAGCTCTCCTTAGCCAGACTCACCCTCACGGTTCAGATCGCCTTGCGAGCACGTGCCACCTTCCTCCTTAACTATATGAGGCCACTTACTGTGACTCTCACCGTGTGAGGTCACTGAAAATGCTCATTGACTTTTTGACATGTATGGTTCTGTGTCACTCAGAGCTAAGCACTGAGCGTGGGTTTCCCAGCACATGGATGTCAAGTAACGCACGCGAGGCCTCGGGGCACCCTGCCAGGGCTGAGTCCCATCAGAAGGCAGGGTGACAAAGGGACTGGGCCTGACAGACATCGGCAGGAGGGGGTGCCGCCTCCCGCGTCTGAACTCGGCCACTGGTGGTGGGGCCTTTCTTGCTTTTGAAAGTATAGGTTTTCAGCTTGTTGTTGTTGTTTTTGTTATTGTGCTATTATTTGAACACAAAACTGCTTCAAAACTCCTCTCTCTCTCTCTCTCACA